ATTATTATTATTATTATTATTATTATCATTATCATCATTATTATTATTATTATCATCATCATCTTCATTATTATTATTATTACTGGGCCATTTATATATTTCTGCTTTTATTTTTATTTATGTTAGTCTCGGTCCTCCATACTTAGGTCAATTTTCTATTTCAAATTTCAATTTATTGTTGCTGCGAGATGCTGACAGCCGTTCGCTCGTTGGCCTGCAGAGGGCGCCAAAGTCTCCACGCTCAGCTAAAGCGGAACGTGCTTTAGGAGCGGAGAGGAATCGGTTCTGTCCTGAGGAGGAAACACCGCACTGATGAGGGGACAGACGACAGGATCTGCCTCGCATTCCTCCGTTTGACACATCGGACATTGCGTCCCTCCTTCGTTCTGCTGGAATCTCACCGCCGCTGTGGGTCTTTTTTTCGCTGGAGCTTGTCTGTTTTTTTTTCTTTTTCCCCCAATTCCGGACGGTTGAATGGAAGCAGCAGCCGAGGGAGCGGTCGGGCTCTCGGAGGCCAGGGAAGGTAGCCCGTTGTCGTCCGTGGCCGCAGCATCCGATGATGCGGACACGGTTGTGGGGGTTAGCTACGGGATGGACGCGGCAGACATGGGTAAGTTTGTCACGTTTTTACTGAAAATCTGAGCCYGTATCGTGTTTGTTGAATGTTCTGTATTTGTATTTTTCTCGCGCTGTGGCCGAAAGTCCTGCTCATCTCCGCAGGCAAGAAGCTGGTGAGCTAAGCTAGCAGCTAACTGATGGACCACACCAGGAGCAGGTGTGATGATACGAACATGTAGTACCTTTAACTGTGTCGAATACATGTTGAAGGTACAACTGTGACGTATATATACAACAATAATACACAACACAACACAATTTGAAGGAAAATGCGTGATAATTTGAATTATTACGAAAGCTGGTAAWATAAAAACAGTAGAGATGCAAACTACTCTTTCCCCATCGAAACAGGTTTATTCGTGTTTAAAAACAAAATAAAAATACGAATTAATTTGTGCCCCTGATATTTTTAAGCTTTCAAGTTGTTTTCCCCAGAAATATCACTTGGAATATTRTCTACAAAAAAACCCCAATCAATTTATATTTACAGTTCTGCTGCATAATGAAGGCAGAAAACATTTATTTTGAACAACAAACTCCAGGTTGATTAAAAAAACAACCTTTATTCTGACAAAGTTGTGTGACTTTATATAGCAAACAAAATGCAATGATTTGCAAATCTCATACCTTCATTTTTATTATGCACAAACATATCAAATGTTTAGACTAAGAATTTGTATAGTTTAGTGAAAAATAAAAATAGGTAATTTTGAGTATTTATAGCAGTGTTATATCTCAAAAAATAATTTATGACAGGACCATGTTTACTGCTGTGAAGCAACCCCTTCTCTTTTAACAATTGTCTAAATATTTAGGAACTGAGGAGACCAGCTGCTGAATGAAGTTTGCAGGGGAATTCTTGTCTGATGTAGGATTCTAGTTGTTCAATAGTCCCTCTGTCATCTTTGCTGTATTTTTATATTTGTTTATTTAGCTAGATGGGACCATATGGTCTAAAACCTGTATATACCTTTCTACATTGATGATGTCTTTCCAGATGTCTGAGCTACCCATTCCATTGCCAATAATGAACCTCCATACCATCAGAGAGGCAGGTTTTTGAACTTAATGCTGAYGGTCCATCTGTTAATCTTAGAAGAAGAGGCATCTGTGCCCCCCACCCCCTTCACACACACACACATGTTTGCACAGCTATCCATTTGGGGACATTCCATTGACTTCCATTACATTTCTACAGCCTAACCCTGACCACAAACMCTAAGGCTAACCTCACAGGTACCTACCTGACCCTAAAACTAACCTAAACTCAATTCACACCTTGGTCCTAAACCCAACTCCCAACCTGCCATTGGCATTTAAACCAAATGGGGACTCGACGTTTGTCTCCAAATGCACCAATTGTCCCCAAAGGTTGGCATTTTGTCTTAAAATTGCCCCAAATGTCACCAGAAACACCCCCCACCCACCCACACACACACACAAAGCAAATCTTAATGTTAAGTATCTGTCTAGTGTTGTTCGTAGTGGGGGGCATGACCCCCTGGTTCACCAGGAAATGCAAGGGGGCTCATAAAGCTGTAGGGAAGATTAAAAAAAAAGCTAAATTAAAATAAATAAATTATTTTTGTAAAATCAAATCTGTTTTCCAATTATTTTAAAATGTAGTTTTTAATAATATTGAAATGTTATTTAAAGGAGGCACATCATGGAAAAAAAAAACCTTTTTATATTATAGCAATTAAATACATTTTGTTGTGTACTTGGAGCCTCTAGTAGTGCAGACAATTTGGATTTAGTCTCACCAGCTGCTTCAAAGATATCTATGTATTCTGTTTGGGTCATATATTTCAACCTRTTCAGTTTTCTCTGTTTTCTGAACAGACTTGATTAATAATAGGGGTGTAAGAAAATATCGATACACTGAAATATCGCAATATTTCATTTCCCGATACTGTATCGATATTCTAAAGCCCTGTATCGATTTTTTATTAAGGTTTAAAATGTCAACTTTCCTGCCAGCCGTTCATTTTTATGTTGTAGTTCAGCCTCTGACCACTAGTTGGCAGCAGTGAGCCAGTCGGCTCACTGCTGCCAACTATTGGTCAGAGGCTGAAC